TCTCTCCCCCTCACACACACAAACTCTCTCTCTCTCTAAATCATACCACTGTTATAAAAATTCATTCACATTTTGTTTAGTAGAAGGCGCGCTTATATATTCCGTTAGTTGATTAAAAAGCAGGAGGCAAGAAGTCAGTACACTCCTTGTATTGCACAGTGTGGCGTTGACATGTTAATTAAGTTAAAGTCTCAGTTTTTAACTGGATTGTACTTTAGATCACCCTTTTTGTTTTGATTTTTTGGGGTCTAATTTTAGTATTTCGTTCGTGGAAGTGTTAGTATTTTTACCAAACAGGAAAACGGGATTCTTTCTGTTATTGGTACACTGTACATGACATGTCACACATCTTGTAATGTGGGGTTTGTGTGTGTGTGTGAATGTGTATGTGTGTGTGAGTGCGTATACGTGTGTAAGTGTATGTGTGTGTTTGTGTGTGTGTGTGTGTTTGTGTGTGTGTGTGTGATTATGATTATGTGTACGTGTGTACTCTTTACTCTTAAGTAATGAAGCACCTTAATGAAATAGTATATATAGAAGTTTACATTTAGGGAGTTTTATGGCACTTGCAACGCTTTACCTTGGCCATATATGTACATGAAACGAGGAATTTTCTAGGGATTTGACTTTCTTAAAATTTTTAAAGGTGTTAAATAAGTTGATAATAGACTAGATCTAGATCTAATTGGAAGAATTATGACGGAACCTTTTGAAATTTTAAAATAAAAAGTAGGTCTCCATGGGGGGCTGTCTTGGATTTTTTGCGATATTGCGAGGATCTATAGACGTTAAATTTCCACAGAAGGGATCTTTAAATTAATATATGCCTCAAACTTGACACACAAATAAACAAACCTATTCTATGATCCGTTGCTGGGATTTTGTTCTATCCAGAAAACAACAAAAATATCCATGTTATGTATATTACATCACAGACGACTTAAGGAAAAAAAAAGGAAAAAGTGATGAAATATTTTTTAAAAGTAATCCATATTTCCCAAAATACTAGATCTAGCATCAGTTCGCAAAACAGACTATCGCAGCACCCTTGTGACAAACTTCAAGCATGTAGCTCAGATAACTGCCCTGAAAGCGTCTATGTCCCCGCGTAGTCACTATCTAATAATGAAAAAGTAGTTTTTGAAAAAAAAACCGCAAAGAAAAGCCCTGCCGACTTGACAATATCAAAGTTCAAAACCATGGTTTCTAAAACAATAAATCTGATATTAAAACGTTGCAGAATTTATCAGGAAATGTTCATGTCATATCATCCCGAAGTAAACAGTCAATGACAGGTGAACACTTCTCTACCTTCAGTAATTTTTAGTTTTTTAAGCTACCCCTTGACCAGTCACGTACACATCAGAACAATTGTTCAGTAACCCGCGAGATACATCAACACACACACATGCACACACACACACACACACACACACACACACACACACACACACACACACACACACCAACAAACAATCAAACAAGAAATAAACAAATGTCAAACACACACATGACAAGATAGATCTATACACAGTGTGTGAGAGTGCGTGCGTGCGCATGCGCGCCTGTGTGTGATTCTCACGTATCTCAACTCTGACGAAATCCAAACAAGTGCTCACCTTTTAAAATCCGTCAAAGGCACAGTAAAATAATTTATGGAAATGAGAATCATACTTGTGAATTTAGTTTGGCAAAGTTTCGGGAGAATCCCACAATTCGCTACAGAAGTCCTCCTACTCCTGGGCAGTCAAAGAATGCGCTTTTATGTGGCAACAGTCATGAGAGACACACTCCCCTACTCGCGGCGTTGAAACGTGATTTATTAATATACCTTCTGGCGCTGCTCTCGATGAATTTTTGTCCAGCAAGGTGCTCCTTGATTTGCCTCCGTTCACAATGGTTGGGAAAAGTCTGGGCACACATCTGCCCCTTAGTTGGAAGTTCAATGGCTTCAGGCTAGAATTGCGTGTAGCTCAGGCACGAGGCATCCCGCGACTTCTGTTGAAGTGAATCAAGTTCCACTCGATGACTAGAGCTTACAGTGTGTTCCTTCTTGCTTGAATCACGGTCGTTTCCTCTCCTGGGGTCCAACATTATCTTCCAAATGTTCTTCAACACAGATAAAAAATCTTCAGATATCGATCTTCTGCCACTGTTGCTATAGCAGTCTTCAACTATGAGTCAGTTCGGACCAATGAGTCCTACTGCGTGCGCAGGTTTAGGTCAACGACATTGTCTGGTCTTTCTGAACTCCAGTGAATGTCATTTCTTGTGTTCACGTTTCTGTTCAAGTAAAAATGAGCTTCATCACGGAACCGCTCTTTCCATGAATGAGTCATTTATAGCATGATTCACAGGAAACTACAGACACCCTTTGATCTGTTCCCTGGCTTGGGAACTGGAAATGACTTGGTATATTTATAAATATATCGAAATAATATGACATGCCTTCAAATCGAGATCGTGCATAATAATTTTGAGAAAAGAAATTTTCGAAACATGGCGTTCAACTCTTCGACGACGAATCATGTCGTTCAACTTTCCTTTTGTTAGACACAGATACACATATGTCCGGCCTTTAAAGTCTACATACTATCCACGGAAAGTGTTGTTTGATGGAAGACTGCAGCCCATCCTATTCTTTTATTTACTTTTTTTTGGTAAGTGTTTTTACGGCGCTCGCAACTGCATAAGGTCATATGAGCGCGCGGGACACACCTAATATTTTCAGTTGGTAGGACATTTTGAATTTTGCCGGGTGGCGGCCGAAGCCTACTCTTATCGATTTTAGACCACCAAGGGATCTTTAACGTGTGCAACTTGCACACGGACCCTCCGAGATTTTTCTCCCTTGTCCGAGAAGGCTAGGTGTAGATCTTTCCTACCAGAAGATAAGGGGTGTCGCAGAAAGACAGCTGTAAGAAGGAGTCAAGGAGTAGCAGTAGAAAGGCTGCAGAAAGGGCCAGGAGCCCAGAGGAGGGGGCAAAGGAGGTGAGGGGGTGGG